CTTGTATACTTTAAATTCCAACAGGAATGTGAGACCAAGTCATTCCTCCTGTGCTGTACTAGTTTTAACGGCATATAATTTAACCACTGTATCTTCACAACCGCCATCAAGTTGGCTCCACACATTCGGTGAGAGTGTTATGCAACCCTTTTCTGTCAGTTTCGCTTCCAGTCTGTTTCACCGCCAGTTAAGACGCGTGTGCATGCGCACACTGCAAATGACGAATGCATTTGTGGGTTCGCCCCGCAAGCAATGCGCCAGTTGAACTATACATCCAACATATCACGTTCATAACTGAGTTGGCTCAACAATTGGTTAAGGCATTTTCTCCACAAGCACCGTCATGACTCCAGCGATGACCCCATACACACGGAGAAACCAATATTCTGTAGCAATGTGGATACATTTCTCACTGGTGTACATCCGGGTAAATCATGCGTCATGCTTATTGAAAGCAATATCCTCCGTTACACACTGCGCAGATAATTTGATCTGTAGTTCAACTAACAACGTAGAGAATGAGATGCGACACTTGCAAGTCAAATGGTAGCTGATAAGTGAAATGGTTACACGTAGCTCAGTACTACCACAATGGTATTTCATCAGCCGTCGGACGCCAAGACGCATTTTCTTCGCAATCGTCACGGTATTCCCCGGATGATAGTGTCTGATGATAAAACACTTAGATAAGTGACTAACACCTGACGCTTCTTACAGCCATTTTTTTGGTAAATTCAAAGCACAGTTACTCCGGAACGAATTTGAATATACAAGCCAAAAACTCAGGTTTGCTCAGTGTATCCTCGATCGTTTCGCTGCATCTGTACGCGTGCATCCTGCAATTTATGCAACCGCTAATAAATGGGAAGAAGTTACCGAATCACATGGCCGAGAAAGATTACAGTTAAAATTAATCAACAATCACAGCTTAATGATTCGGGATACATGGTGCCAACTTGAGCTATTGGCTTCTCTATTCAAAATCTTTTTTTTATATTAAAAGGTTTATACGCTATTGGTATTTCGAAAGTATAGACTATCTGTTGTCTTGAGGGAAACGAGATTCAAATAAATCATGATTGTCAATATGGAATGCCAAAACTCTATGGTTTGTGTACTTGAGTGAATCTCACACCCCTGGAGTTCGTTTGTTCTTCACATTGTCAAAACTGCGTCTTGTTGAACAATCTGTACGGTAGTAGACAAAGCGCACTGAACAGCAGCTGTTTCATCTAGCCACGAAATAGAACTCTCACCGGAACAACGACACACAGGTCTCGATCTCTGAACGGTTGAATAGAACTGAACGAAAGCCAATTTCCTTCACACAATCATACACTAAAAGTGTCAGGTATCGAGCCACAGTTAAAGATTTCCGTTTCCAATTAGGCGGCTGTGGTTTCCTTCCATTCCCGGAAAGGGCACGAAAATAGTACGCACACCTGATGAGCCTCAACAAGGATGAAATGGTAGTTTTCCGATGGCCTAATCAGTCATCATTGATTTGCACATACAATCTGTTCGAATGCGCACAATCACTGTCGCTGAGGCCAGCCGAGCAAGGCGTTTCACTTGTGCTTCGGGTACACAAACAAACCCATGCGGACACAGTATGGAGTTTCATAATGCAGACCACGTGACACCCGGAATACGGTATTGACACACAGTGATGTACAGATTGTGCTTATCCCCCGTCGCCTTAGGATTCATCAAGCATGAATTACATAGACACGATTAGGAATGTGGAAAGTATCTGCTCGCACAATCTTGGATACATCACATTCACGTTCAGTTACCGTTTTCACAACCATTAACTATGCAATTTCATGTGCCGCTTTTTGTTGCTGTTTTTGACTGTTCATTTGGATAAAATAGAATGAGGATTGGATTGTTGAGAACATAGTCAAAGTGAAGACAGAGAATTCATATAGACAGCGGTTGCAAGGATAATGAGCAGGTGCACGGGCGCCAATCTTGGTGATACTCAGCCATATCATTCAATGCATCTAATCACCGGTAACCATGACCTTGGGGTCCCCATCCAGGAAGCTTAACGGGACTTATGTGACCCAGGGTCCTGGTTAGGTTTTTGGTACCTTCACACCAGATCTTAGTTTGATCGCCCTTGACCTTTTCCGATCGGCTTAGCACCTGGGACAATATCGCTCACTGTGGCAACATGTTTGGTGACATGCACAACACATGTTCCAATCAGCGTAGTCTAGAGAGGTCGATCACTTGTTCCAGGGGACGAAAACTCTCTGTCTAAGCTCAACATTGATCGGGACGTAGACAGTGGTGTTCGAACACCGACAATCTATTCTCATCCTGTCCCTGTAAAGCCCCGTGGAGTAGGACTGGCCTAACTGCCTGAGCATACACTCGACCTGTCACAAACAGTCGGATATATTAGAACGGTGCAACAGATGTCTCAAGTTGGCAAATATCAATCGAGCCTTCTGTATGCGTGCCGACACACATTCACTTTGGAAAAGGAAATAAAAGGAAAAGGAAAATTGATCGGGAAGGAAACAAACAGAAAACTGGTGCTGGTGACAGTAAAGATTATCCGAGCAAACCTATTCGCAGGTGTACCGGGAATCGTTGACCCATCTCTCTTCCTTACTTACCTTCAATTTTCAATCAATACGAGCCTGCCTTTGCTGTGTGCTCAATGATGGCTTGAAAACAGCTGAAACCTGACGCATCTTAAATTCTTTTGATTCTTCTTTGCAGGAGGGAGTATGAATGTCGAGGAAGATCTTCCCGTTGGATAGATGACAACGATTTTGTGAAATGTTTTTCTTTCAGAATAATACGAATTAGGTCGTCCTCCTGTTTGGATGTACTTGGTTCACGGCCTCCACAAGCTGTTCTGGTTGTTGTTTTTCCATGGATTATCCTTTAAATTGTGTTTTTGTTACTGTTAAAGCATTGGACAAGATTTGATATGGAAAATCCCATCTTTTGTGCTCGTGCAATTCTATTTCTGTCCTCTTCGCTGAGATAGCGAGAACTTCTGGTTTTGACCGTTGATTGCTTCATTATGGTGACAACAATACGAACCTTCAAAGCTGTGCACAAAAATGACCTTGATTTTAGGGTTGACTTTGACTAAAGTGGTGTTTCTCGAATTCATTGAGTTAGATATCAAACATAGATTATTATTATGAAACCTTCTTTAATGCGATTTCTCTGGGTTGTGATAGAATTTCATTTGGTTATTCACTAGAGTTGCTACAGTGGATTATGTACTAGATAAAATAATGCCTCATAACAAATAACCGAGATGGCAAGGGTTTATGGAAATAATTTGGGATAATTCTTGAGTCACTCCTACTACGTAGATCAAAGTAGACAAGATATAAACTATTGTCAAATCTTAACTATTAGTATAGGTGATAAATTTAATGAAACTCAATTTGATCATAAAGAAAATATTTTAGTGCATCACAATCGGTCAGTACTGTATACTCCCCACAAGCATATCGGAAACTAGTTCCTCCAACTGTGGCGTGGTCACCGCATTGGAAAGTACCGAAAATAAAACTCCACAGCTTCATGAACTAAACTAATGCGAAATGGGCCTGACTGAAAACACTACTAGATACTGGCCATCACTGTGTGTGCGTGTGTGTGTGTGTGCGTGTGTGGTTCATAGCCGTAGTTTCTGCGCTGTAGTGCCACTAAATACATCAGTCTCCAATAGCGCAGAGTAGAGAAAAACAGAATTCCTAATTGACCTCATTCACTGAATGCACATCGGTCGCCCATTGTTGACCCGCGGTGGGTAACAATGATCGGTGCGACAGATGGATCAATCCAGGTAAAAAGTATGGCTACCCTCAACTGGGACGCGTGATCCGTCAGTGCAATGTGTAACGGTGATGTGCGGTCAGCTTGTTTCGACACTTGTCACCCCGTCCAAGTAGCACTGTGCGTGGGGGATATAAATCAATTGGGCTGTAAAACAATTCCATCTATTTTCCGTGTTAAGAAAACACAACCTGTGGGATATGGACAGGGAGGCCGAAATAGTGCTAAACACCACCAACGACAACAACAACAACAACAAAGAAGTGTTGGTCCCTGAAGAAAAAAATAATAGTATTTCAACGATAGTTAGGAATAGTAGTAAAACAAATTCCATTTCGCCTGTTCGTCGAGCTTAACAATTGGTTTGCAAACATTCCGCCACCTGCTGGCTGATAATGAAACTTTTGTAAACAAATTGCCAAGCTCAGCTCAACAGGCGAAATGAAATTCAGTTCACCCGAGCTACGTGAAAAGATTTTCAATAATCTGTCGACTGATGAAAAGTTCCAAAAATTAAGGATGCTAGAAAATCTTTTATTTGAGAACCCACTGGAAGCAATCAACCAGGGAGGCTGTTTCATTGTTTCTGTAATGAATGTCACAATAAAATGAATAGCAGCTATTATTCACCTTGTGTTAAGTAATTATTCACCCAAGTGATCGGCGGGAAACCTGGATACTACCTTCCTAGCCCCTTCCCCCGTGTAGGACGATTTTGTGGACTGATAAGAGCTTAAATTCATCACGTAAGCAGCCTCCGAGGAACGCAATGGGTTTTCATTTGACAAGCTTACTTGAAACAACACGCGACAAGACTATACCAGTGGCACTGAGCCATGGTAAGTGTGATTCCTCATCACAATTTTTTTAAACAGGTGACTAAACCTAAGTACCGATCATTGGAGTGTCTGGAATAACCCTTCTGGTCAGAGGGCCTCACCAATGGGATGAAAAGCCTAGAGAATCGACCTGTGTCACATGGGACTGCGAGGAACGCCTGTATTCTTACTGGCGAGAATCACTGTGACCGCTTATGGTCCATAGAACTGAAACACCTTTCCCCTCTCAGCGAGTGATAGTTGTGTAAAGGACCCTAAACATGTCATCGAAAGAGCCACATTTCAAACAGGAAGCTCACAATCAACTCGAGGAATATCAGACTGACGATGATATTGCACAACCAGTTAACGAGAACGGCCATTGAGATCACCACGTCCCTTGCCTCCTGTGTGAACATTTCCGCGACAATGAACCAAGGAATTGATCCTGGTAGGTGAGGAAACAGACAAGTAAACAAATGCCGTCCGCATGAGATGAGATAGAGGTAAAATAGGCGATCATTAGAATTCTTCAAGGATGAAAATCCTTGAGACATGGTTATTTGATCCAGTAAAAAAAAACTATTCAGCAGATTGTTCTAAACTTGCGCTCATGATACCACAGCATAGCATAAGGTGCTCACAAATATGATGAACACAATTTATTGATTTTTATTGCCTCTCATTGATGCCAATCCCCTCCGCCACCACTACCACCACCACCACCACCACCACACTCCTGTCCTTCTTTTGTTCACCTCATTCCTTTTTCGCACTGGAAACGCTTCGCTATGGCCAAAGGAATGTTTGTGACAAAAAACAACACACATCTGAGGTGAATTCATCTGAATGGAAAACTCCATCCAAATTCGACCGATTCTGACAATTGACAAGGGGCTAGAAATGTTGTGATCATTCTGAGTGAATTGGCAGGCAAGTGCAGCTTGGAAGTTAAAACGACAGAAAAAAAACGCGTAACTGAGTGGCAAAATAACAATACGGCATAGTTTACTGGAATATCAGTAAGTTTATTTGCAATAAAAAAAATAGGCAGACAATAGTTTGACCAACTGTCCCAGTGAAAACACGGTCAAATCAAACTCGCTTATGTATATATAATAGGTCTGTACGTCGCCTTGCTTCTGTACGGGTCCCTGTTCCACNTTCCACTTTAAAAGAAACTGTCAATCCACAGGAAAACCGTTTAAATTTGATCACAGGGACGGTTCATCTATGGCGGTATGTCAGACGAATTTATGGGCAAACGGTATCAGAGCTATCACTGATTCCGCCGGGGTTCACTGTCTTCGTGTGTGTGTGTGTGTATGGCTGTAGTATGGTGAATAGTATTCGAAACGTAGCTCCGGAATTCGCGCAATACCAATTCCCAAAATAGAACAGCTTTAAATAGCACACCGCATTTATTCGAATCGTATACTCTACATATTCAATGCATTTAAAGTGTAAAATGAATTTGTCGAGGTCAGCGTCATATCTCACACTCAGCACACCTTGTATTAACCACAGGGTTTCTGTAATCCAGTCGTGGCTTCGCACTCAATCGTTTAGATCTTCCTAGGGCTCGCTCATGCACAGATAATTCTTACGTAACAGTTTGTTGTTCGATATCACAATGATCCAGACCTATTTTGGTCCGACAATGTTCGCCTACCCATGCTGTTGTACGCAACCCATTTGTTTCCAGTTCAGCAGTCATCTCATTCAAGTGTCGGATAAAAAATACCCAGATTCTAGATATGTGATTCTTTTGACACGAATTGGTTTGCAAAATTCCTTAGAGATGTAAGCCAACAAATCAGTTCAGGTTAGGTACACCTAGATATAAAGTCTCATCCCAATCCTCCTCCTCCTCATCATCATCTCCAACTGCCACATAATTGAGGTATGAAAAACAGTCATTTGAGTAAAAAGCTCAGTGGGGGAGGGGGTTGACATCCATCTGGAGTAACAGACGAACCCAAAACCAACGGATGATTCATCTTATCTTATCCTTTTAGTTTACTTCCTTTTATTCAGTATAAAATGGTACAATGTTCAAGAAGGAGGAAGCGGCCAATCAAAGGGCTGCCATACGACACACAACGGGGAAAGTCAGGCGGTGGTGGTGGGATTCGAACACACATCGCCGGGGTGATTTGTGTACAGATATACAAACAAATAGATGAGTTTAATCTGGGAGGATCACCCGGGGAGGAAATACACACATCTGGGGTGTGAAAATAGGATGTGCACTTGTGGGATCGAAAAGTGTGACAATGTCGGGAGTGGGGTACCACATCGAATGAGTTGTATGTGTTTCAGCACTGTGAGAAATCAAGTTTTTTATTGTGAATGTGATAATTTTAATACCACAGTGATGTTGATGGAGAGTTATATTCGCCGACGTTTTGGTTACCGTGGATAACGGAAACTCAAGGCAGGTTTACAATTAAATGTAATTCTCTACCGACATTGCTGTGTTACTAATAGTATAACATTCACAATAAACACGACACATGGTGCATCGATTTTTCGTTACACTCCTATCATCATTTGGTTCTGATGTTTTAAAAATCAAATTGTTAGTTTCAAATTGTTCAACATGTGAACCAGTGAATGACAGGGGAGAAAAGATTAGCTTATAACAGCCGAAGTGAATGTTAGCATGTACAAGCCCCCTGTCAGAATGCACCGGTAAAAACAGTGTTGAGGCGAAGAACAGATGAGAGAAACAGTGTGAATTTAGTAGCATGGGATTTAGCTGTTCAGACTGGACAAGATCTCTGTTTTTCAAAGTCGAAATATGTTGAGTTGTGTAAGTAATGAAACCTCAAGCGCATGTAACAATTATTTGAGGCACACACAAGGGTGTGTGTGTGTGCAGCCAGAATCCAACCCTTTCTGATGTTACCAATACCTGGTAGAGGGACAGGAATACCCGGGTCACGTTCAATGTGTGATTTATCCCAGCTTGGTATGAAACCGCTGCATTGGTACGTGACTTCACGTTCCGATGTTCAGCCACGCCGGAGTGGGGGGACAATCGGACAATCAGGTGCTGTGGTGTGGACGAATGAACAAACAACTGTGGGACGATCACTATCCCGGCCTGAAGACGCGATTAATCCTAGTCGTAATCTATGATGTAAACTTTTCCATTACCCGGACAATTTTCTCCTTAAATAGCGATGTTTCCGCATGATTATTATGAATTATTGGGAACAAGGTTGTTGGCCACTGTACTGTCGAGGGACTTGAATTATTTTGTGGTGATCCGGGCCTACGAGATGATGCCTAACCTGGAGCGACGCGTTACAGCTTTTGGACAAATGCTATCAATCAAACCTCATGGGTGACGTCAGCAACGCGCGTCCGTGTCACTGCTTGACTTAATACCATCGGCAGGTCGTAGCAGCCCATCCGAGATCGTGCGGCCCAGACAGAAGCAGAACGATGCCAGCAATACTGGAACGCGATTGGTAGAAGCCCGGATAACCACTGAGCCTACTTTGTACATATTATTTAATCCCCTTGTTTCTTCCAATAAACTACCATTTCTGTGGCCTTATTCTAGCGTCTCAGTCAAGTGGGATATTGCGTGCTAGTGCCAGTGTGATCTAGTGCTTACGTGATCTAGTCCATGATAGCTCATCCTTGATTCGTGTTCCGTGTTTCGTATTGCGTGGTTCGTTTTCCGAGTTCCGTGTGTATTACCGCTATTACTACAATCACTACAGATTTTTAACAAGTAAACGATCCAGATACATATGAACGGGCATCGGAAATGAGATATTATCCGATTATCTTCGGTAGGCAGAAGCGGTAGTTGTGCATTCCAGCTTATTGCAGTTTGCGTATGCTGCGCATGTCCCCAAATAGGTTGCCCCGGCGAACGAGGTTCGCCGAGACAGGTAGCGGTTGGAAAAAGGTCAAGGGTGGTCAAACGAAGACCTGGCGTGAGGGTATGAAATCCCTAACCAGGAGACTAGGTCAAATAGGTCCCGTTAGACTCCCTGGTTGGATATCCCAAGATGATGGTCATCAACTTTTAGAAACACTGAGTGATATGGTTGGGTGTCGCAAACAGTGACGCTCGTGCATCCACTCATTATTCTCCTAACATCACTCTATATGAAGTCTCCATCTTCCACTAGATTTTGCTTTCAACATTCCGATCTTCATTCCGCTCTGTTATCCAAATGGGGCGCCAAAAGATAGCAACCAAAACCCGAGCACGAAGGTACATGGTTAATGATTGTGAAAACCGAAGCTGACTGATAAGATAGAGTTTTGCATATTTCAAACATTGAGTCATGAACTTTATAACTGAATTTCTTACAACGCTTTAGATAGTGAGATATTCCAAAGAAAGCTAGCAAATTGTGACTAACAGAGGGGAGAATGCCTGAGTCTACAGGAGATAAAATCCAGTCTCTCTCGCGCGCGTTCTTTCAACAGCACCGAACTCAACACTACGGTCTGAAATTCAATGAACCACTGATGATTCTCGTCAACGTTTGTGGGATGCTCGAACCGCAACATCTGGTGACCAACAATGTCGACAATGGTAGAGCTTACAGACTACCACCGCGTGTTGTAGCGAAATGGGTGGTTTGATTCACACAAACATTTGTGTTGAATATTCATGGGGCATTATGATCACTGCCTGATGCACCGTTCCCGTGGACAGCTTCAATAGCCGTTCGAATTTGGGTTGAAATAGCCTGAAATCAATTGATTTCATCCTCGCAAATGATCGGAAACTGCAGTGCTTTCATCCGTCACTGAAACATGGATATGTAACTGTGTCGATTGTATCTAAGATCAGCGTCTAAATTCCGGCATGATAAACGCACGGAAAGCACAGTTTGACGACTACCCCGTCGACAAATCAGGATGTGACTTAGGACTTGAATCGCCCTCCCCACAGTTGTAAAATATTGTATTCTATTCTGTTGTTTATTATGCGTTTGGCCCCAAATACATTCCATTAAGCACATCTTTCACGCGTGTCTGCGAAGAAGTAGATGGCTTTGGTTTGCCCTGGTCCAAAGTTCAAAGCCTACTGCCCCCCCCCCCCCNAAGTTGTGATTTAAAGTCTCATCAAAACCGTACAATTTTCCGATTGATATTTGTCCCGTTGCATGATTCCGGTTGACCGAAATGTACGCTTCACTGATTACGAAATTTACCCAACAAGTTAAATGTAGCTATTTCCCTGAAAATCGGTAGTGCTCTTTTCCGTTCACTGCAGAAAAAATTGAAGCCAACTTTTTTTCAAGTCTATTAGTGGTAATGACTGCCCATTACCCGTTCTAGCACAATTTCTGTCTAAATCGTTGTGGCATTGTGCTGGTGATCGTATACCATACTTCTCGGCCTCCCGACAGGTGACGGATCTCAGTTCCACCACCGAAACATCATTCAACAACCTTATTCTATACAACAGATCTTTCAAATGCTTTTGTCAAACTTATTTCAAACCCCGTGTGCGTGTGAGCAAAACTAAAAGCTATGTATGAATCTTTACATTGCTTTGAAATAATAATGATAGCGAGTCCACAGCTAATAACATCACCAAATTTAGATCGGCGATCCCGGACGGCCGCAGTCGGAAATGTCGGTGTTAGGACGAGCGCACGGAACCCGTCCGGCCACACATCGACCCGCGTCACACCACAAGTGCGTTCGTGACGCCCAAAGCCGATTCGATTCCGGATTGGATGACCAAGGCAAATCAGTCAACTGTCGTGCGATCGAGCAATCGGAGTACCTGATTGTTGCATCATCACGTCGTTTCTCGTATGCCTAATTTACCACTATTTGTGTATTGTTTCATGATCTGTTGTTTTCTCAGCCGTGTTCTCTCTCTCCAAAATGGTGGGGCCTAGTCAAGAGGTGCAAGTATCGATCGCACGTCTGGGCAAGACATAATGGTCGGTTTGTTTGTCACGTGTGCACCCCAAACAGTGAATGACATGTGAACACAGATGAACTGGATCCAAGACATGATCGACAATCACAGCGGGCACGCTCACAAAGGATTGCTACTAAACTGGTCAAGGGCTTGAACTGACTCACCTAGGGAGAGAGCGATTGCAATCATTGGGACAATGATCTGCTCTGTAGCATTGAATCTGAGGTGACTTGATCTTGTCGGGTCAAATACTGCAGAACCTCAAACCATCCATGTCGGCCACTACTCATGTTGTTCCCCAACATACACCTTAGGGGACATCGTTTCAAGTCAATGATTCCAAAGTGTCCACTGGAATACCGGCGTCAATCTTTTGCAGTCAGAGCGCGCAGTACTTTGGAACACCCCTCCATTATCGCACGTCGCTTGTGCACCAACTGTTGAATCGTTCAAGCGGAGATTTGATGACATCCTGGCACATCTCACATTCCGGCACAGTGCAAAACGTAAAGCAGTTGAAGATTATCTTATGTTATCTCCTACCTGTAACTCTCTATGATATTCTATCATTTTTTTTGTCGAGAAACGATTCTACTACCATGGGGACAAGGGAAGCGTGAGCTTGTCGTTAATTCCCCATAATAAAAGTTTAACTTTGACCTGGCGACTTACACAAAACTGCACGGCACACCGACTCACCTGGACCCATTCCAAATCCGACAATAAAGACATAAGTGGACGCGATAGCCGCATACGAAGGCCAGTTCACTCCGGCCGAATTGCGAATTACCAGAAATATGGTGTATAGAATTAGACAGGCAAAAATGGTCAACAGACCCCCGAGAAGCAGTACACGTCGTCCAACTCGATCGATAATGAACACGGAAACCAAGGTGGTCACAAAAAGTGTGCACCCGATTCCGATTGTGGCGTAGTTGGCCTGAGCAACAGACAGTCCCGTTGATTTAAACAGTTCACCGGAATAATAAAGAAGCTGTCAAATGGAGACGGGTAAATGAGTGTGACACAATGGAGATACAGAAACTTTATATTTTTTTTACAGATGTTCGTGATTTGGAAACTGTGTAAAACTAGATGTGTCAGAATGTAGGAAAAAGGCGCCGTGGCCAGCCAACTCGTTTACGGTAATTCAGACACCGTTTAACGCATCACATGCGACAGCGTTATTACCAGACAGTAAAAATCACATTTCGTTCATGAAAATCATGGCTACAACGTGATTATAAAATGCAGGAGCGTCCACAAAGGGTGGCCACCAAAATAGTTAGGGGGTTGAATCGCTATTCATACGCAGAGCGGTTGAAGTCGCGGGGTTATATTCCAATGACCACCAGCGCATCAGAGGAAATATGATTATGGTATACCAAGTAATGTAAAACCCAAGCCATCCGTGTCGAACGCTGCTAAATTTATCACACAACGTTCATCTTAGAGGATATCCGTTCAAAGTAGTGGTTTCAAAATGCCGATTGGAATGCCGGCGTCAGTCATTCGCAGTTAGTGTGTTTAATCTGGAATTCTCTTCCACCCCACGTCGGATGTGCAACAAGCATTGAATCTTTCAATCTGAGACTTGGTGAAATATCAGCACACTTTACATTCCAAGATAAGCGAAGCTGCGTGTAAAAGTGGAAGAATCCCTTATCATGTGACATTTTAACCAAGGAATTGTATGTAGCACTGTCTTTTAACCACAACACGAGCCTGTGGGACGAGAAAAACATAAGCTTGTAAGTCATTCCCATAATAAAACTTTGAAAACTTGCATATGCATACCTACGACCACAATAGAAAACGGAAAATGACTGTGTCAAGGAGCAATCACATCATCAATGCGAACTCAATCCTGTTCGTGTTGGGACGAAGATCATTGATATTCGTCCCAAGAAAATCCCCGCCGTGTGTTTTCTAATTCTGTGAAAGACTCTAACATATTTACAACACATTCAACTCTAATTAAGATCATCTCGGATCAATACTAATCTCGCCTCCAAAATCCTCAGCATGGTCGAGGGTGGGTTTCTAGGATTGTGGCTGGTCACCCTTTCCTTGCCCTTCGCGAAATGCTCCCATACGACCAAGCGTCTCAAACAGCCTCTGCTGAGGATGCCCTACTCACTGCCTTTCCGTGGCGGAGATGTTTTTCCACCAAAGTGAGAAGACGAAAAGCCGACATCCAGAGCTATAACCAGGTTGGTGGACCACTGGCAGCTCACCTAGGGGAGTTGGGCAAAAACGCTGATTCCAAACCAACTAACAAGAGGCGTAGGAACCACACTCACACTTTTCCAGTTGTGACAGTGTACACCGGCTCAATTGGGCATCGAGGTGTATTGGGCACCTTGGAAGTTTGACCCCGTCCGAAAGGTGTATGATTCAATGAACTGGACACCGGCTCCCAATGGACTGCGGTTTTCACACACCGCCCATCTGCCTTACTGGTTCGGTTTTGGCTAGTCAAAAGCTCCGGTTGTGGATGCCTCAAGAAAATTCACCTACCTTGGCCTGGGTAACCTGGCAGTATTCAGCCGGCATGCAAATCGTTGAACGTTTTTCTTTTTATAAAGAATACTGCACCATGATTTGTCTGGCACAGTCTGAAATCAGACGTGTGTGAAATTTAAATATATATATAATACTAATCTCGCGGAGATTAATCAATAATATTGTGTCGTATGGCAATATTCAATCAATCCGTCCGTCTGATCCGTGGCCTATGACCAGGTGAACTCCGCTCACTGTGTATTTGATTGGTACAATCTTTTTCTTGCACTGATCTATGTTATTTTGAGGCACATTTAAGCCTCAGAGTAAAACTGGTAAATTGACTTGTGACCTGTGTTTAACGCTATTAACATCCCGTGCTGCTAGAGCCGTGCATTTTCTCTCTCTCTCTCTCTCGTGTTTTGGGAGGCCTGAGAGATCGATAGCTGACCATGCGTCCTGTGTTTTGCCTAGGTAGCTTCCGCTCCTAGAACTATCATGCGTTCGCGGACTTAGTGCTAGTTCGCTGTTCTCATGTTCCCGTGTGCTACCAGTGTTACTGTGCTATTTCTTGTGTTCTTTGCAATCGTGTTGTTTGCCTGTGATATAGTGCAACAGATATAAGCGGCGTAAAACATAACAGTTCGGTAGCTACTCCTTTCCTAGAACCAACTGGTTGAAACATAGTAATAGGAAAACTCGAATCACGAACAGGATCAATAAAACTTTTCGATCGAAAGCATCGCACATTGGTGTTGCATCAAAAGTATTAGTGATGCGGATGCTCACTATTAGGTTCAAGATGATTCTTGTGGTGTGTCCGGCTCACGTTTCTCTCCGCCAGCGAATTGGGAGACTTCATTGGATGAGCGGTACGAGAGTTTTTTGTCTACGGCAAATGTGTCCCAAAAATCACTGACCCCACGTTGCCACGTTGCTTCAGGCTATCCGTCGTACAGGTATGGAAGCTTTGATTTCAACAATCCCGGTGGAACGATTAGTGGACGGCCGCTCAGGATCACCGCGCAAATTATGAAACAATTTTAGATGGTGTTTTGCACATTGCGCATTCAGTTTCATCAGTGGATGTTGGTTAGAGGTGAGGTGCAAAAATGTGCGGTAGTTAAATATGTGTATCAATATTAAATCTAGTCTCTCTCTCGTTACACCACCTTGATTGAGTTGGAACCCAGAAAAGAATTCAGATCGAATGACCGTTTGAGTGATCGTTCAAGCACTCACTGTCCCGCAAAACAAGCAACGCGGATCGATTTTAATTTGCCTCCGGTTGTCAGTTGATGCGTGGAGCAAACACCATCATTGCCATTGAGGCTCTGATGAACATGTACCACATGTTACCACATTTGACGACTGAAATCCACATACAGTACAGGAACCGGACTGACCCAGGCTCGTTATGTGACAACCAAAGTGTCATCCAGTGGCATTCACTGGATTGAGTGATTTAGACCAGAGATCTCGTCAACCATGCGGTTTTAGTCAAGGTCACTTTGTGCTCAAATTTGACCGCTTTCATTCTGCTCTCTACTTTCAACCCTACTGCGTCCTCAAATCCATCAATAAATTAGTGAAATAATGTTAATCGTTTTCACAGGTAAAACATGTTATTATTTGTTTGTTTTTTTAAATTTATTTATTTATTTATCAAAAACAGCCTCCCACAACACTTTGATCGACCTTCACAGACTGGGGCGGAGACGGGGAATGAATGTGGTCGTTTCACGGTTATTTCTAAGACATGCATTACATTCCAAATTTCATTCCTTCGAGTCAATTTGTAACCAACTCACTCCATTGATTCCACACAATTGTTGACCCATTTGACAGAACAGTGCAATCAGCAATCCCCATCTCAAGTGTTTGATACGGAAAAATTTCAGGAAGGAGATCTGTAGACAGATTTGTAATAGGTTCCAGGTATCCGTCAATAAAACTGACCTTTTGTGTAACCGTTTCCGTTTCCTTACGCATTTCTTCCAGTTCCGTTTTGATCTGTTCCCGTGTGCGTCCCAACTTGAGTAGGGCTAATTTTGGGAATTGGAAAATGACGAAAACAGGGTGAGTTTATTCTTACCTTTTCGAGTAGCTTCTTCGTCGTTTCTTACCAAAAATAGGTAACGTGGACTCTCCGGACTGAATGCCAGACATACTACACTGATGATGCAAGGAATAGCGTTCAATCCTGCACGGGGTGCACAAGTTTGTCCAGAAGAGTATCATGACCTACCGAGGAGAAAAGGCCATAGATCTTCTGTGCACATGGCTTCTTTGAGACCGAGCACCTGGACCAGGACAATTGCAAACACCACCATGAGTTGATTTAACACACCGGCAGCGCCACGAATGTCTGGCGGAGCAACCTCGGACAGATAGGCTGGACCGATACCCGTATATGCACCACAAGCCAATCCGACGAGTACCCGGCCAANGAGCCATTTTCGAGGTGACCATGAGAATACACCCCGACAGACAGGGTGCAGCGAGAACGAATATGGATTTTCGGCTGCAAAAATGACCAAGGGGGGTGAGTCTAATCCAACTAACCGTCCTAATTTGTTGGCTAACAGGCCGCCCAACAGACCTCCAACAAGCCCACCAATAGTGAATCCGGCCACACAAAATGAACCAAGTAGAGTCAGTGGAACACCTTCAGTGGTTCCATATCGATCCATGGTCACATTACCGATGAAGTTGATGATAAGCTTTAGCCATCATTCTTTCAATCGAACAAGACAAATAGGGACTCACCTCGAGTGGTTGATTTGTCAGACCAGTATGATATCCGAATTGAAAAGATGTTCCAATAGTGATTGCAAAAAACACCGCCGCCAATATTGGTCTCATAGCAAATGATACAAGCCACAGGCTAATTTAAAAATAAAATGAAAAATGCAATGCTCAAAACGAGTGAAATATCAAAGCAGAGCTTCGTACAGTTGGATTTGAACTGGTTGACAAAATTGGTCATGTTATATTTAACTTTTCTGATTGTATACACTCTCATTTTGGTCAAATGACTTCGGATGTGGGTAGGGTACAGACCACGAGGATATTCCTTATGAAAAATCGGGAACAAGCGCGATACTAAGCAGTTTGTGGCATCCACGTTGAAAAACACCAGAAGATATGAACAATATATACGTAGGCATCTTTGAGCACCGTATACTAGAGGAGTTGATTCGGTTTCCTGGATGGTCATTCACTGCATTGCTTTCAAATTCCGTTCGCGTTGAGTCAAGGCACGAATATGGAGGAGATGTTTCAGTGAACCCCTACACGGCAGTCAAAATTAACAGAATCTCGCAATTGTTCAACAATTTGCTACCAGATTTGGTCACGGAATACTTGGAATTCACTACTACTTTATTATTACACACCAGACGGGGTGGACCCCAGCTTCAGAGGTGAGATAAACTTCGGACTTCAAACTCTGCAAGAAACTTCCGGGTTTAGCGCTTTAGGCACTGTTTCCCTCTGGAATGACGATCATATCCGGGGTCTCTCTATGATACTGTAGAATTTAAAATCCAAAGCTTGGTCCTCTATCTGTCACTGTTTGAGAATCGCAACGATACTTTTGAACTCCTTGCTGGTCTGTGCTGTGAAAGAACCAGGTGCCGATCGTCGCCTGGAGGAATATTCGGAGACAAGGTGGCAACTTGCAGTAGTGTAAGGAACTCTTGATCAATAGTTATAAGACTCTGTTCCCAACACCTCTCATTCTGGGCAGTAAAAACCAAATCCATCCTCAAATAATTCCGGGGTGATTTCTGGAAAAGACGAGACTAGGTTAATTCTGCAGGTCACCATCTCGACAGATAAGGTTTTTGGATCGTAAAGAAGTTTGTCCCAACGACCTTAGCAGGGGCAGATTACATTCTCGGGGATATTCCCAAGCCAGTGTAAGAATACCTTGCCGAGCCTTTGTCAGCTATATAATACGTCACCCACACGGGTTCAGCTGACCAGGAACTTGTTATTGGTGACAGTCCACCGTATCCATAACGGAAGAGAATAAAAGTTGTGCTCCACGGATAGCTCGGACAGCTTGACGTCAGTAGTGATGGTGTTGAAAAGGAGTTTTATGTTATAGGATCACAAGATACTTTGTGGCAACAGACCCACTAGCGGCTCACCAGAAATTTTTCAGAAAGAACAAATCCTGTTCATAAAAGAGGTAATCAGGAGGATTGACAGGGGTAGGACGAAGTCAAGCTATCATGTCTAGACTTCTAGAAAGCCTTTCACTTGGTCAGTTTTAAGTTACTGATGGTGGAATTACACAGTTTGGGGTTACCTGTGGAGCTGTTGACCTAAATAAACCGCTTCCAACCAGGCTGACTGTTTGTTGTGAGGGCAAAAAGCAATAAAGCAGACCAGCGACGAGTTTTCAGTGAAATGTCACATGATTCTGTCCTCAGTGCGTTATTGTTTCTGCTCTACACTGAGCAGTTCAGGAATGAAATTAAAAAAATTCTCAATAAATCTTCAGTGCACGGAGAATTCGACAGAGCATGCGCTGGGTTAGTTAAATGGGGCCTAGGTCGCAATATTCTCAAATGAGATTTGTTTGTTTGAGCAAGAGGCAGGCAAAAATCGGAGAACACTGAAATACTCAGACCACTATACCTAAGTATCTATGGTATTCGCTGTCAAAGACCAAAGCACCTCCATTCCCATGAACTCCAAACCTGGCATCCAATGTTAAGAGGTGGTGCAACGAAGATCAAGAGTCCAACACCAAATATAAAAGCGTTTTGAGCTCAAGAAAGTCTAGAGTTTCAAGATTCCATTCTTTATCCAAGATATGATGACACTGAAATCAGTTGATTGCCGCTTCACCATATGGTCGCGGAATTGTGACAAGTTTTATATAAATAGTCTATTGAAGCCCTGAAGCTATATTTATTAGGAGTCGTAGGAGGAGGCAAATTTGTTGAGGCCTAGAGAATTATCAAAGGCCTAATGCCAGGTAGCACAACGTACCGCATCAATCGGCTCCAAAGAGCTGTTTATGAGCTACATAAGCTACATTTGTTAGTAAACAGTAATTTACCTTCACACTGTTTGTTTTGGTTTGATGACTCATTTTTATTCTTAAATCAATCAAAGTGCTTGTATTGTGGACTTTTGTTTTAATTTACGGCGGGAATTGATAGTTTGAGTGACTCTTATCTTGTGCTGGGTTGTTGTTAGCTTCTGCTATGCATAAGTTCTTATTTTTTAACGTCCATCGGATATTAGGTAAATTTTTTTTATACATTTATTTCATTGTTAATGCTTTTGGTTCCGTTATCAATTTTTTTCCGAGAATTATTTCAGTAATCATAAAAAACATTAAATTTTATCCAGCCTCTTCAAATGTGATCTATATCTCGCTGGACATTTTATCGCAACAACGGATGCAACAAGTTAAGTGTCCTATTTGTGACGAGGTAAGTCTTTAGGAAGACAGAACAAACTGCCCAAGATCATTAGGTAAACCAACTGTGAAACGTGTATTTTATTCGCAATACGTTTTCGTCTATAAGTGCAATCTATTTCTTTCAATGTGAATTCAACATGGTGCAACTGAAAGAATTGAAAGAAAATTTGTCAGATGAGAATATATATGACCGATTTGTAGGTTTACGTTGTGTTATCTATTGAATACATAGGTGAAACAATTGATGCAGTGAAACGTGCTATGTCTACGGTACTGCATGATCCGTTAGCTGCGCTGATGAGCGACACCGGAACACGTGGGAAAATACAAGCTTCCAACCGTTTGTTTATTCAAGGTCTTATGGGTAAGTAATTATAATCAGATATGCATTACTTTATTAGATGCTATTCAGACAAACCCCAGATTTATCGATGTTCCAATGGATTTTGTTGAACGCAGGTTGTTCAAAAATACGACGGACAGAACTGCCACCAGAAAACTGCGACAAGAACGCACTACACAAATGTAATATACTTTTTACTTTGCTAATATATATCAGCTAATAAATGGTCGTCTATAGTACGCCAAATATCTGCATGAAAATCTCTGATTACAGTAGAAGCGTATTAGAAGGTGCTTCTAATTATGAATAACATGATACAGTAGGGATGAGGGAAGATAGAAGAGATTCATTCCATTAGTCAATAGAGTGCGTTTTAATCATCACAAAACATGTGCTTAACCCCTTTGCGAGATAGTAATACCGCCAGAAAATGTGGGGGTTGCAAGGGATTAGAGAACAGAGAAGACGGAAATCATAAGACGGTAGTTTCAAAAATGTAGCCGGCTATTAGCCGACTACTGGGCTACAAATGAGCAACAATTTTGGTACCGTAGTTCATTTGTAGGTCAAATGCGACCGGGTATTTGCGCGCTATTAGCCGACGTCATGCTACTTGGGGATGGACGTGCAAAACCGGGCCGTCTTTAGACTAAGCAAAGCAACGGATCTGAGGACGGGGGGACATTAGAGTCGTCCAAAAATCGAGTAAGAATCCGCCTAAGAACGTCTTTATTGCGATTTGAGTGGTAAACCTCTGAAATAAGGCACGAAAGAAGTATTTCCCACATAGTTGAAGGCTGATTGCAAGAGCATTTTTGACAGAGTGTGGTTCGGTAAAGTTTTTGACAAACCTCCATAGTAGTCTCCTAAAATAACAAAAACACTAAGCAAACGAGATAAATAAGTAAAACCCAGCTATCATGGACGAAGCATACAGTACAGAGAAATAGGACAGTCCAATTTGTACGAGCAGAAGAAAGAAAGTATGAACGAAAGTTAATTACAGAAACTAAGCAACAATCGAAAAGGTTCCATAGTCGTGTCCAATCGAACCAAAATCTGAGGGATACTGTAGGTGCATTGAAACTGGACAACAGCACTATTGCAGCGAATGATCAAAGCAAGACCACAGTACGAGACAACTATTTCGCCAGCCTTCTTAGGTTAAACAAACCGGACATTAGAACCCAGAGCACTGATGTCTACTCCACCGAGCATAGCTCATCTGCACATATCTGCAATAGACGTTCAAAAGGTGTCAGGGGTGTTATGCTTAAACAAGACTCCGGATCCCGACGGTATACACTATGCCATTGTGAAACTGAAAGCAGCCACATTAGGGACACTGTTTTGAAAATTCCTAGAGTAGGAAGTGCTCTCGGTCGATTGGAACTGTGTCATTGTGACAGCATTATACGATGGCGGGAAGTAGAACAAACCTGCAACAATACAGACCACTTAACTTGACTAGTATTCCATGCAAGTGCATGGGAGATGTAATCAGGACCCATATGTGTAGATTACTCTTAGAGCATGAACTACTTAATGAGAAACCTGTCTAACTGACTGTTATGTTGCCCAAACGAGGTCACGGAGAAGTTAGATGAGGGTAAGATAGTAAATGTCTTTTACATTGATTTTAGGTAAAGCCTTCGATTTAGTGAGTTAAAGACTAATGCAACAAAGGCTAGATTTATGCGAAACGCTGTTTAAATGGGTAACAGAATCCTGGACAAAAAGGACCTTCTACCTCATGAAAGGAGAAAAATCTCCCTGGTCTTTCGAGTTACCAGTGGTATGCCACAATGGTTAACCTTCGGTCTACTTCTATATCTGCTGTTCAAAAGTATGACCTAGCAGAACTTATCATTTCACCATGTTTCATCTTTGCTGATGATGTGAAG